TTCAAATCAAGAAAAAAGCCACTTTCTTTCGACCAAGGCTTTTTGACTGACAGTTTCCCTTTCACTGGAACTAACCTACTTTTCTGTGCTTTCTCCAGTGTGCTTTTTTGATTGTTTTATAAACACGTGATACCTAACTGATCTGCTGAGAGGTAAATTATCTATCACAGAGCAGTCTAGATCTAGCTCCCCAGGATTATATGTACAAAAGTTCAACTCAGGTTTCATGTTTTCTTATGCTTGACTGTTCTGCTGACAGGCTGTATTGACATAGGTAACATTTTGTGCGAGTGGATTTTTCATTGCTTGAGCAAGATTACCTCTTAATCCCTTTTTGCTAAATTCACTTTTCTGCTCGCTCTTTTCCCAGCATGGTGCAGCTGACAAGCTTTTTGTAACATGGTTGGTTTTTTTACCCTTTAGGTGACCGTGGGGATCAAGGTCCCCCTGGAGAACCCCCAAAGCTCAAGCCCAGCATGATGATGGAAGTTAAAGGTGAAAAAGGCGATGCTGGAGAAAGGGGCACAAAGGGATTCTTTGGCTTAAAAGGTCAGTGTTCACAGCAAAACAAGGCAAGCACACTCAGGACTATTGATAATTGTCTTTCCTCAGTTACCATATTAAATATTCCCTACTCGTCATACTATTGCACTGCAGCACCACCCAGCAAAGTCTCTGACAAAGAAAGCTGACATCCCAGCTGCATTTCACAAAGCCACTTCCAAGGAAAGCTTTGCGGGGTTAAGTCCCATGTGTGTACTACCTTTTTGTACTAGTGCATCATGGTGCTATGTTTCAAGAAGAGGGCCACTAGCAGGAAAATTTCTACACACAAGGAACTGCATATCAGCCTTCCCAGCTTAATTTTTCTTTGTTAAGTCTTTCTTTATTTTTTCTTCTTCCTCATGTGCAGGTAGCAAGGGAATGCCAGGCATCCCTGGAAAGACAGGCACTCCAGGGTCCCCTGGGCATCCCAGCTACGTGGCTGGTGTGAAAGGGGACGTTGGCACGAAAGGGCTGACAGGTCTGAAAGGGTACCCTGGTCCAGCCGGCTCTCCTGGCATCAGAGGCTTCCCTGGCAGCACAGGAGACAGGGTGAGTCCATGTCTGCGAGGGAATAACGCTGTCCTTGTGATGGCATTCAGCTTCTCTAGGGAGTGATGTTCACCCCTTGAAACTGTGCTGAACAGCTACAGTGCCAAGATAAAAATGCAATAAAAAATGAACAAATAGATCAAGTATTTTTTGCTTGATCCCTCCAACATTCATTAAGCACAGTCCTTTCTTTTCTCATTGGGAGACATCCAACATTCATATGCCAGGTTTTTGCCAATGAGAACTCAGGAAGTTCCTTCTATGTCTTTGATCCAGTTGCTGTTGGTAATAATTATTCTTAATGCTGGGTTTACTCCTCCCTTTCTCCCAAGAGTGATGGTGCTACTGCCAAAAATTATTGACTGTCACTCATCTAACAGTGAGAGCCTCAGAAACTCAGCTCCTGGAGGGTAATTCACCGTGATTCACTTTGGCTGCAAAATAACTTACACTGGAAAAAATAAAGTCTTACAAAAGGCTTTACAGTAGACTCACAGACATCATTTATTTAAGAGACAAAAACTATGTTCCTTTCTCAGGTAGCTTTGCCCTTAGATTTCAATAGGAATTTTTCCTAACTAGAGACTGCAGCACTCACTACCATATATGTTGAATAGGATGTTCTCAATTTCAAACTTGATTCTTTGCAAACATCATTTGTCCCTTGGTTAGTACTGATTTGATTTAACTGATTTCAGCCAAATGACTCTATACATTCTAAAGTACTATGGAAACTCAAAAATGGTAAATTTAATAGCCTTTTGTAAATATTTCCTAACTGCACTGCTTGAATAAATCCTTGTCCTCATTAACCTCTTTTCAATCATATGATAGGGAGAAAAAGGTATTCCAGGAATTTCAGGCCGTTTTGGTACTCCTGGCTCGTTTGGTGAAATAGGTGAGTTTGTTCTCTTATCTGAGCACTCTGTCTTTACCTATCAAATTCTCAACATGACGTTCTGAAGAGTCTTATGGGGTCTCCAGTCTTAAAAGACTCTTCATTGAGTTTTAGAGAATGATATTGTAGATGTGGGAGGCTGTGAAAAGGTTAACACTGTTCATTTCATGCCATGTGTAGTGCCCATGGATAGGCAGGGAGGGCAGCTGTTCTGGAGACTTTGTGTTTTTCTTTCTTTAACCTATTCCTCTCTTTTTCTTTCTAGAAGATAATAATTTCTGAATTTTGCCTTGGAAGTTGCAACTCCTTCAAAACAACAGGAAATACTGTTTAAATTAAAGCCTTACCACTCATGTGTTCATTTTTGCTTGAAATAGGTGAGCGGGGAGAAACTGTAAACTTACCAGGAGTGCCAGGCCTCAAAGGGGAAGTTGGTGTGCCAGGCTTAACAGGTATTCATTTCACAGTATTGCTTTTCACATGCTGAAGTCCACAGAGGAAAGGAAGGGGAGTTTACCATGGGCTTTTGATGGCTGTTGAACCTGTGTTTTCATGACACCTCCTGAAGAGGTTCATCTTTATTGAAATAAGTACGTGTTATGTTTACCTCTTCCACTGAAAGTACAGTTATGGCAGTAAACATCAATCACATGCAACTCTGGTAAAATATTTCCATGTAATTTTTTGCCCTTGATGACAGAAGGAGCAATATCAGGCCATAATTATGAAAGATGGGATAGCAGAGTCAGGTCGTTTTTGGATTGGGTTAGTGAAGTAATGGATTACAATTGGAGCTATCCGTGCACGTGCAGTCCATTTGAACATTGGTGTCATATTCCACATAATTTGGGGAGTACTTTTAAAAACAGATTTAATGATGGTCTGACCAGCATGCTGTAGACAACTTAATTCTCCTAGACTATGCAGACATCCTGACTAGAAGAATATCTCTGTGGCAAAACCAGAACCCATTCAATAGCCAACTTCATTTTATGCTTGTCAGCTTAGGGTTGTATAGAGATTGTTAAAAAAATATATTGCGTTTGTGGTTTTCCAGGCACAAGAGGAGGCGCAGGACAAAAAGGTGAAGGTGGTGATCCTGGTTTCCCTGGCATTGAAGGCCTCAAGGGCACACAGGGTGTCCCTGGCTCTGTGGGACAGGAAGGTAAAATATTCCTTCTTTTTAAAACTCCAAAGAATAAAACTGCTTAAGAAGAGAAAGACAAAATTTCTTTCCCTTCAAAAGAAAGTATTTTGTAATAAGTTGATCAATCTGTAATTTGGTAAAGTACAGCGAACAGGATGTAGAACTCATGATAGAACTTACTGAGAGGAAATTTCAAAAGCCTAATTCTGCTTCATACCATTTTAATAGGAGAAGCGCGCTGTATTTCTGAGGTTGTCAGACACTTGAAGTTTGTAATTAACTGTTCCATTATACCTTGCCTCTCCTGCCTTTTCTCTCTTTAGTTTTCTTTCACCTGGATGCATGGAACACAATGACATTAAGTGGGGGGGACGCTGTCACTTTGCTACCTTGGCAGATGAAGGCAGCACAAGGGGTGGTTTGGGCTATCAGTTTTATGGACACTCGTGAGCAATGATTCATCATTGTCCTACAGGTTTCCCAGGACTGGTTGGGCCCCCAGGACAGCAAGGAAGCCCAGGGACACCTGGATTTCAAGGTGAAAAGGGAACCCCAGGCTGGCCTGGCTTACCAGGACAAGCAGGTATTCACACAGCTTCAGCTATTCAGCCATTTCAATGTGCATGTTTGCTGTTCCTTTGGGGTGAAGAAGAAGAAAGGGAGCTTTTTGCAGCTCAGCATGGCAGAGTTCCTTCTAGTACACATTCATAAAGTTCAGGTGCGTTAATGTGGCTGCTTTCTGATTTATGAGTTCTGAAGGACTGGTGTCTACTGAGCTCACCTTAACTGCTGATGACCTCCCTCTCAACCAGGAAAGCAGTTTTCAGGAAACATTTTTATTTTTCATGACAAGTGAGAAGAAAGAAACAAAAAAAAATATTTTAAATGCAACAAAAGTAGTGATATACAGTATTAGAGTTTTATAACATGGCATTAGATAGCAAACAATACACTTGTCCTACACCATCATCAAAAAGTGCAAACTGATCCAATGTCTGGTTCTAAGGATAAATTACCTATGGCTCAGGCAGAATTCTGCTATCAAAATACAGGTGATAGTTTTAAATGATGCTGTTTATGTCACAGGATACAGAATCTCATTGTTTGCCACCTAATGCCTTAATATATGGAGTAAGCAGATTTTCTTCTACAGTACAGCCAGAAATTGCCCTGCTTTTATTGAGATTCATCTGTTTGAATGTGCATCAAAGCTAAGCTAATATGGTTATGAAGGCTGCCTTTATAGACAGTGGAAAGAGAGACAGACATCTAGTATTTGTGAAGGTTGAATTGTCCTCCAGAGCTCTGGCCATTGATTAGAGATACCTGTCTAGCTTTGACATCATGATTAACACTTTGACAGGTACAAATAGATGGGACAAATTTTACCTGTAACAGCAGCAGCAGCTATTAGACATTTTGTTAAGGTTTTGGTGTTTTTCTTAAATGACACAGAGTGAATTTCTCCTGGAGAGAGCTTCATTACAATCACACTTAGAGCCTACAGTTATGTCATAATTGTCTTGGTTTGAGGATTTTGGAAAACTATAAATGGTTATTAACAAAACTGTGGAAGCAAGACTGGAACTAATGGCATGTTACCAGACGGATCAGAGATATTTAAAGAAAAAAATCTCATAGTGAGGTTATTGGATAATAACAAAATTTGCCAATCACAAAACCATGGTGTGTTGTGTTTCATAATAAGCTTATTGTCATGAATTAATTTGCATATAATACACAAGATTTTAATACAGTATCATATTTATTCGAGCATTTGAATGTTTTGCCTAGTTTCTACAGACTCATAGAAACTGTATGATAATCACGAGTGTAATTTTAAAACAGGCTCGCCTGGCTTAAGAGGAATCGGTGGACTGCATGGTTTACCAGGCACTAAGGGTTTACCAGGGTCACCGGGTAAGTAAGACTCGTAGTCTGCTTGCTCATAGGCGTAACATTGTGTTGGCTGCAAGTTTGGTTGGTGAGATCTGTGCAGTGTGACTTTCTGAACTGTGTCATCCAAAGCCCAATGTGGAATTTGCCTTATTACTGTGGGCTTTGGCAAACAACATCATCCACTATGTGTTCATACATCTGTGCTGTCATGCAGATTGATTAGAACACAACTTCAAATCGTAATTTCTTTCCTCTTACAAAGTTAAAGCTTCAAGGCCTCTTTTTCCCTTTATGAGCCATTTTTGTATGTGTACATTAGCATGATACATTACTGGAAACATTTTGACTTTCTTCTTAATTTTGCACAACTCCACAACAGGTCCAGATGTCTACGGCTCTGCAGGTTTCCCAGGGGCAGTGGGTGACAAAGGGGAAGCAGGAGAGCCGAGCAGAGTGGAAGGCAGCCGAGGACCTCCAGGCCAGAAGGGAGACAGAGGTGTTCCAGGTTTGTATTCCGGAGAATGGGATCTACTCATCTGTTTCAGCCATTGTGGATGTTACATAAATGTCACAAAATGTAGTATAGTGTAGTTGTGTAGGAGAGCGCCTGATGTGGGGAAGGTCACTGGTGTTAGTGATGCCAGCCCTTGCTCAGGAACAGCAATGTGTATCCCCCAATGCTCGCCAAACCAGCACCTACAGGACAGGCTGGGTCCTGAGTTCTTCCCCATGGTATCAGCATCTTGTATCACCCACAGAGCTCAGCACGCTGCAAATGCCAGAGACTACTCTCAGTCATCAGCTCCTACAATATATTTAATGAAGCTCCAGTTACACAAACCTTTTGTTTTTTTCTTTTTGTTGCAAATCTGTCAATATTTCCCTTTCTTCTGAAAGCCTCCAGTTGATCCCTCCAGGGCTCTATTCCCATGCACAGTGCTTTACTCATACCATCACCCCTCATGCAATCTAGGTGTGCAGCCTCAAACCCACCTTGCTGTAGCAGGCAGTGACTATCTCAGTAGGGTTCACCACCAGTTCTTCTTCCATCAGGGAGCCACCAGACTGATTTTATGGATTAATCAACTAATTACAGGATTTTTAAAAAGTTTTCCAACATTTTGGCTCTAAAAGGATTAAGGACTGGAATATATATAAAACCTTACTGGCTTTGCTTACTTGGTTCAGTGGTTCATTCCTATTCTTTTTTGTTAAGCTTTGTTGTTACTGACAAGAAGTGCCTGTGACCCCTGACTCTGCAGGACACAGAACAACAAAGCTGCTTTGTTGTCTGCTTCAATATACCTAGGATATTTTGAGTACTTACTATCTTGAAATAATATTTTACCTGTCAGACACAAGATTATTCGCATCTCAGATAGTAATTAGCTATCCAGAGAGCTCTGGCACAGAACTAGTATTTGGTTCTTTTAACAAAAACCTCCACAACATCACCTGGGTTAAAAAAAAAAGAATTAAATAATTGGGAACTGCAGGTGTTTTCCATTTTGGAAATCCCATTCTTTGTACTTAGTCTAAGGTGAGTTCTTATAGTTGCAGTTGTGCCTTTTTGTTGCAGTCCTGATTATTTCTTTTCTTCCTTTCAGGAATCCAAGGATCCTTTG